AGCCGAGTGGTGAATGTTCATTTCTTCGAGTCCTACAAACCTCGCCGCTATGGGCAGAGACATTGCATTCTTCTTTTATCCCAGCCAGTCTACGGAAGACAGGTGGTTCCACCTTTACTTTGACTGAAACACATTAAGACTGTACTTACAGCTTCAATATTTCATATAACTTTAACAGTACCACAGTGACTCAAATCGTAACCGTTTTAACGGAATCTATAAAATTGGGGAAAAAATGGGAAAAATCTATGTGCCGTTATCCGCCCACCATCGTTCAATATAGGGAAGAGTTATGTATTATAATACATCCTTAACCACACATATCAAATATCAACTTAAACTTGAGATTTCATTGTCATTAATACATACTTCATATACACAAGATAAACACTCAATTCTGAAACATACGTATATAACAGATATATAGCCTAATTTTATTGCGGTCAGATAAAAAGAAAACGGTCTAAATTAAATACCATCATATGAAAGGGGATTTTTGTTTCTTAACTACTTAACTACAGAAAAAAGTACGAAAACATTAATTAACAAAAACTGGTATTTTGTTATTTAACATTTTGAGGACTGAAACGTGGGTGAAATAAAAAAAATCCGTTGATGGGTTTCGCGGCTATGCTTAACGTTAATTTAGTTCATCATTACTTTAATAGTATTCGTATTGCAGGCTACAAGGTAGAAAACTCTTTCGTAACTCCCGGAACATTTCTCGAGGATTACTTCCCTTGAATCTTATCTCTCTATACAATCAATGTAGTTTCTACTTTGTATTGTATTTAATATATTTATGCGCTTTTTTAAGAAATCTTATTTTGTGTCATCGGTTTATTGACACACATAACGATATATTCATATAGCTCTAATAATTACAAGAATTCTAATATTATAGTTAGAGATGAAACTATATAAAGTCATGATTAAATGAACATACTGTATATTAACAGGACTGAGACTTAAAATAAGTCAAACACAGATTCCTTCATATCAATTACTTTTATGAATAAATCTTGAAAATATCTTCTTCTTAAATTCTTTGGCTTTTTATAGCCCGTAAAACAAGTTTTCCCCGCCTTTCATCTGAAAAAAAAACAAACGAACAAATCATGACTATGATAAATCCACATTTAGTATCGGACATATGCATGAATCCTCGATAGTATAGTGGTGAGTATCCCCGCCTGTCACGCGGGAGACCGGGGTTCAATTCCCCGTCGGGGAGGTTCTTTTTTTTTTGCGCCATAAATGTTGTCACCGTCTTTTTTTTTTACATGAAGTGGCATGCTTCATTTTCATCATCATCATCATCATCATCATCATGATTATTATTATTATAATTATTATTATTATTTTTATTATTATTATTATTAATTTATTATTATTATTAATGGTAAATGATAAATGACAAAATAAAATTGTAGTGTCAAAATGTAACACAACGGTCACATTTTGCTTATTTCAGAGATATAAATAACATAATATTGTTATCTGTATCTCTGCTTATTTTTATTTTTTTGTCTTTGAAACATATTTACAGAAAATAGATCTTTTACAATTATCTGAGACTGATCATACATGTATGTCATATTATACAAGACATGTTTTATTTATTCATAATTATAATTAAGATATTCAAGTATTATTTAAGTATTCATTTATTAAGTACACACATTTAAAGCTATTGAATTTCGTTCAATTAAAAACTTACCTCATTTGCTTATAAAAAAAGTAATATTCTAAAATTTGATCCGTTTCTTTAGTTATAAATAACTTTTTAAAAAAAATTGTGAAGTTATCTTAGTATTGTCGTCTGCATCTGTTGTCAAAATAACAACGACCTACATGATACCAGCACCAAATGTATTTCGCTGAAAATAATGTTCATATCAATACACAATTTAAATTTTTAAACTTGATTGACTTTTCTGCTAAATTCAACAGGTTTCTTAATAATAATATGGCCCTTGAGGTCATGACCTGTCATCAAGGTCACGTAACTCGTCTACCCGGAAATGAAAAAGGCAACATTAGCACGGAAGTAACGTTCGTATATAAGCTTGCTGGAAACTTTTCTACTTCACAGCTATTTCCTTCGTTGTCGTGAAAACACAAACAAAAAAACAAAGGTAAGAAATTATTAATATTTTCAATAAATTAAAGATTTTATTAAAAGTATACATGAACGAGTGATTATTCGAAAAAAAAGACATGAAAAGGATAAAAATAAACAACATTTAGTGTTGAGATTCGACATTAAAAATTTAACTTTCATATGAATGATATACATTCAAGTCATATATAAGAAATAAGATAATAAAAGAAGAAAAAAAAGCTACACATTCAAAAGGATTTTTTTAACTTTCCTGTATTTTTATTACTAAGAATTTTTAATTTGACAAATTTCGTTTTTTTAAGACCAATTATGTGTTTCTTCTTTAAAAAGAAGAAACAGTATTTTACAGATGAATAGGTTTATATTAAAATATATAGATATTCAGACCAGTCTTGTTATTTCAATTTTTAGATGAAAACCTTCACCCTTGCCGCTTTCGCTGTTATGATGTGTTTGGGAGTCACACTCGCTGCCTTCGGCGGTAGTTATGGTAGCAGCTATGGCAGTTACGGTGGTGGCTCCGGCTACACATACATGCCAGTCTCCGGAGGATACGGTGCTGCCGCTGGTGCTGACAACAGCTTCTGTGAGTTTTTAAAGCTTTATTTTACATTTTTATCAACTTAACACATAAAGTAACTTTTTTTCAATGTATTTTACGAACTTGCAAGAAAGAAATTATATTTACTCAATTGTCTTAACACAGCTGTTATATTTTTAAATTCAAATATTACTTTCTACATGTCTTGTCAAAAATACTAAAATGTAGCTTGTTAATTTAGTTGAGTCTAAACGATTTGATACGGAATTGTATAAAGCTTAAAATTGTACATAACCACATAAAATGTAGATAAAGGTAGCGATATTCGAAACTCAACTAATGTTTTGCGAGAAGTGTCATTTATGCATGTGTCTGCATGTTGCAATAAATTTCGGAAATTGGTTTTGTTTAATCATACATTATTGCTTTTCCTTCAATATAAAACAGGTACAATTTAACTTTCCTTACAAAAACTATTAAAGAATATGGTTTAAATATATACATGAAATATATAAAATTTACTGCAACACGATTCGGAAATTGAAAGCGAGTGATTTTTTCATACAAACTTTACAACGTTTTGAATTTCAACCAAAGTGTTGAAAATAAAAATAATGTTCAATATCTCAAAGGTTAAAGTTATATATATGTTCATGTTCACACTGCTTCATTAAGCAAAGTAGACAAATCGCAACGTGCAACATGGACTAATTATTTATCATACATAATACCAAGTATATGTATCTCAAATAAAATATTAATAAATTGTTTATTTATATCATTTGTGTCTCTTTTTTACAGTATACTTGATCGGCATGTTGTTCCTGATCCTCATCTTGTTCAACAGCAACCTCTTCAACACCACCTCCACCTCTACAACTACACCAATCACCATCCTCCAGGGTTAAACGGGATTGTCGAACGTGAAAACATGGTAAGTGTAATAGTATTCGGATACAAACGTTTTAGAATCAAAACTAAACAAAAATTATACTGAGAATAACGATTTCAAATTCAGCACTGACTCGCATGTGTACGAATTCATTGCTTGAAGGGGTGTGATTCAGGTTATTTAATGTTTAAAATGAAGGAAACAAAAAGTAAAGAAATCAATCTTGGCATTTTTGAAGAAAAGTTAGTGCGTTAAGATACTGACTTTAAATATGTTTACATTACATTTGAACTATTCAAAATGCATCATGTTATATAGCATATCTACCCCAGATATGCTTTATTTACATGAAGAAAAATAATACAATTATCAAATTTCTTGTATGAAAATATACACATGTATTAGAATATTACTTCGGGTTCTAAAATAATCATTATTTGTAAACGTAATATACTAAGGATTCTATCATTCTAAAATGTACATTATTTTTAAACGTAATATACTAAGTACACTATCATTCGACTGCTTCTGTTAATTAAAATATATAATTAATAAGTACACCTATTTTAAATATAGTCTTACTTTTACATTATTATGTAATATATAATTTCAGGTAACCAGCGAGCTGTTCCAACATCAAATCTATGTCAACACAGCAATGCTATTAATTTATTGTTCGCTTCGTTATTGTTAAATAAAAAATTAAATTCTATATTATTGTTGTTGATTCTATTCTCCTTTATTGTGTTGAAAATACCTTGTTCGTTTCCTTTCATATTTTACTCTTTTTACTAATGTTGATCCGAGTCAATGAACACTTTTGTCATTGACTTACTTTTTAAAGGAGATTTGTGTATTATTTCTCCATGTGTCCAAATATACTTTTGATCCCATGTTTCTCTGTTATCACCTGTCCCGTGTCTCTGCGTAAGTTTAATGAACTATCTGATTAACATCAGTTTCTAAATAACTCTACGCTTCAAGGTAAAAGAAAATGATTTAAACTTAAGTTAGATATTTTTATCCACTGTGTAATTACATGAAGTTTTTGTTTTGTTTGAAATCCTTAACAGTTTAATATACCAACTAACTCGCTTCAGACATTCCAGATTTGCTAAGATATCTGTGTCTCACTTTGTCAAATGAATGATTCGTTTACGATCATATTATAATTGATAGTAAATTTCCATCGAGTTTGAAGTTGTCGACCATCTTTTAAGAAATAATACAGAACCGATTTGTTTAGAGAGTACCGTCACTTTTCAACAATCAAATGAACATATTTCATTATTATATATTTATGAACATATATGGAAATGTTTAAACAGAATTGATATTGTATTAAAACTTATCAATGTAAAATTATTGCATTAGCCAACATTTGAGGTTGAACATATTAAATCAGACTTTCAACACACTTTTATTTTAATAAACTGGACAACTTGTAATGATTAAACACCGTATTGATTTGATCATCTTGAAATCAAATGTCAATTGATTTTGTAAATATTCGAAATTAAAAAAAAATAATGTCTACAGATTTCTAGAACTGCATATTTAGTTCTATTTATTCATTTAAATAATAATTTTAAAACCGACTAATATTTTAGGCATCTTCTTTTTCTGTTCCTTCTCGGTGTTTTACGTACAACGTTACCATGGTAACAGCAAAGAAAATAATGAACATAACACCGGAATATCCACCATAAGCCAAAAACTGAAATGTAAGATGAGAGAGAAAAGTTGCTAAAATGAAATGTTACCCATAAAATACATATATTAACAATTACATTGTATCAAGAATACAGTAAGCTATTCTGCCATACATTTTGCTGAATAGAGTCAATTTCTTTATGACATATAAACTAAAAGCGGAATCCGGAATGCCCTGTCATACCATAGGGATTCATTCGAAAAGAGCACCAAGGATGCATTATTCGAAATTATTGCCATATGCAGTTCCTCGGGGATCTTTATTTAGAGCACCAAGAATGCATTATTCGAAATTGTTAATCTGATACAAGTATAAAATGAATCATTTTTATGATGATAAATTCATTGAGGACAAGATATATTTATAAAGTTTTGATAAAATAGTAATCAGATTTTTTGCAACAATTTCTTTTTGTCTTTGTTAGTTTGTCTATTTGCATGTCTTTCCGCCCATACCTCTACTTGTTTTTTGCAAAAAATTGTATGACACTTTGATGTGTTTGTATTTTCTGTCCGTCTATTGTACGTTCTGACTTAATTCAATGAAAATTACGATATGTATTCTTTGTAATCGTTGGCCCAAACGAGCAAATAGTTTCTATTGCGTTGTTACTTGTCCCATGAAAACCTCTAGGCCCTAAGGTCCTTTGTTTAAAAAGCATAAAGTAAACCCCCTGTCAGGAAACCGTCTTGTCATGGGGTAAACAGTACGTACGTTGTATGGCCTTATTTCATTTTGCTTACGTTTCTTACGTCAATAACAGGCCGTTTCCGTTGGCAGCCTTGATATCATCACGAGAGCTCTATTCGACATTTTACACGGTTTTCTCCATAACATGCACCACCGTTTATGCTGTGCAAGTCCCGAATACCGGACAAAGTTCCTCTTTAGCACATAAACAAACATCAAGGTACTGCAAAATAAAACTTATACCTGTATCCGCCGACATACAGTGCGGCCATTTTCGATGGCTATAAACAGATTCAGCCATTTTCAATAAAGAAACAAACATCAAGGCACTGCAAAATAAAACTTTTACCTGAGTTCTAACGTCTACACCAAGCCCGACGTCGTCCACAACAGCTGCGGTGAATATGGATTCAATGACAAGTGCCAAGAACATGTTACATCCGAAAACAAAACCATAGTGAGAACCTGTTAGCGCTTTAGCAATTTCCGCCCTGGAACAGGAATGTTTAAAATTTAAATGATATTCATACCCTAATACAAGGATGTTTAGGAAAGAATTGACACTAAATCGATCAATTTCTAGATTATGTCATATGTTTGCTACAAATAATAGGACTCAAACTTTGGAAATTTGGAAAAAAATAATGCCTTTCATTAGGTGATTGTAATTACCTTGACCTAGCTTACGGAACGTCTGTGGTTCTTCTCAGGTGCCCGTTCGTGCCTGAAATAATGCACGGAAGGGCACCTGAGGTCTTCCTCCACCAGGAAAGCTGGAACGTCGCCAAGTGACCTGTACTGTGTCGGTGTGACGTAAAATCAAATCAAACAAACTTATTGCCTTCACTAATTGTATTGTTTACTACAAAATGAACTGGATACTTTTAGTGATATCTACGTTCTACTCACGTTTCTATGGTGATTGCAACTTGGTATAACACTCGGAATATTCCATACAAGACATACGAGACCCATATCTCCTTCGTAGTTGCCATGACAACTAGTATGATGGCCTTGATAGCGCACACTGACGTCATCAAGGCTTCACTTCTGCCAGTCTTTGCCCAGTGTACCGGTATGAAGCCGACTAGAGCAACACATATAGATCCTACAAAACGCAATTTGTCTTGAAAATGGTGACTGGTGTCTTTGATTGGATGCAAAATGTAAAAGTTTAATTATTTAAAACAGTAACTTCTTTTAAGCCAAGTATTGATAAGCTTTAATGAAATTGAATGTCTATCTTTAAAATAATTAAAAAAATAAATGCAAACGTGAACATCGTGCGATCTGAATTCAAGATTACTAGACTATTGTTCTGAGTCATTTTTCCTCAAACATGTCAATGTGGCTAGATAGCTTGCGATAGTAGTGAGTGGCTATTAATATAGCATTTAAATCACATCATTTGTTACATCAAACAATGATACTGAATTAGTTTACCTGTCAAAGTACCGGCTGCTTCGACCGCCCCGTTATAAATATTAGAACTTTGTTCATGCGGCGCTATAACTTCCCAAAGGTTTTGTATGTAACTTCCAACTTGTAAATTACCACATGATGCTGTCACCCACCACGCCGACCATATCAACACTGTTCTGTTAGAGTATGACTCTTTTATCTGTCGTTTAATGGTATGAAGAAAATTAATAATTGTTATAAATATACCATTGTAGGAAGCAGACGTGTTATGAGTGGAAACTTCATCACCCGACGCATCAGGGTTTATGCACACAGAGTCATTTTTATCACTTACGTTTCTTAAAGATTTGACATTTTCATCAGTCAAAGAGAGTGAACATAAAGTTGAATCTTCATTTTTACCACTGTCCCTTTTTACGTGTCCATTTAATTCACAGTCTGTTATTCTTTCTTCAAAAAGATGTTTGAAACAATGTTCGTCAAGTCTTTCAGCTTCCTTGATGCCATTTGCGTATTGATTCAAATCATTGGCAACACGTGATTCTGAAGGTCTGGAATATTCATTACCATCAGCAACGCAATTTGACTGCTTTTGTACATTTTTAATTACTACGCTCTTATTGTCTATGATGTCACTTATTACATTATTACTTTCTTCTTCGGATGTGTGTTCAAGACCTTCAACAATAACCTCTGAGACAACATTTTCTTTAGATCTTGTTTTCGGTAGAAATATAGCTATTGCAAACGCTAATGAAACGCTTGAAAATGAAAACGCGTTCAGCTGAAACAGATCAAGAATTTTATACGAAACTATAAACTGTCCTAAAAGATATGCCGTAAAGCGTCCGGCCAAAGAGAAGCATCTGGTAAAGCTAGCAACCTTTTGAAAATGACTTTTATCCACCATCGAATACAGATAAGAAAAATATCCAATTTCTCCAGCAGTGGCAAGACCGTATGATACCTGCATGACCGTCATAGCTGGTATTCCTTGGGCCCACAGAATGAGAACCCATGTCATTATATAAGCACCTGCGTCTAAAATTAGTAACGATCTGTAACGAAAATAGTCCGTGAATGTAAACACCGGAATAAGCCAAATTGCGTATGAATATGTCCACCAAGGATATATTTCATTATTTACTTGATCTAAAGTTAAATTCTTCCATTCGCTTGTTAAGAATGTTGTCAAATATGCTTCCGACGGTCGAAGATCTTTGAAAAATCCGAAACAACAAACGACAAATGTTAAAAGCTTCCAGTCCATACTTCCATTAATGTCGTAATGTTTTATTAACCTTTTAAACTTTGTTTTGGGAGTGAGATAAAAGTAAACAGCATACACCATTGACCAGGAGAAGATGGAATTTCATTATTTTAAACTTTTATTAATACTAATTAGGTAAATGTTTATATAATCAGATAATGCAATGTAGCTCTTAGCTATGTGACCATAGGTTTCTCATTCTCGTTTACGATTTAAGCTTTCCATTAAATATTTTAGAATAATAGATACACGTGTTAAAGTACAACTCCATATCGAAGGTCCTGCAATATAAATGTTTTATTTATTTTGAGAGCAATGAAGTCTCTTTTTTGTTTTGTCATGTAGTTTTTAAATATCAAAATGTTACCTTAAGCACAGAATATAATTGTATTTCTATAGCTTATTCTAGAAGTAAATGATAATTCCAGTTTTTTGTTACAGAAATAATATTTTATGCACCATTGTACCTTTGTATATGTCTCCCTTTGAAGTGCGCTTATCATGACATCAAATTGATATGATATATATATGTATTTACATGTATTTACAAGAATGTAACTCAGATTTAGTGTTGTTAGCAAGGGCATATAATTTGCAAAAATTATTACATGTATAAACTTTCAATGATGGCTACAACACACCATGTGTTCGCTTTATTGTGACGCATGCTCATTGAGTATGTCAGAAATCCAATACCCATCGTTAATCTATCTGCGGTTTAGGGGTGGTGGTACGGGTGGGGTTAGATTTGTAGTTTCAAGTCTGGTAAAGTAGTCAAAGCATGACCTTACATTAAAGCCCGTCTCACACAAAACACGGTTGGGCACACGGTTCCCATACGGTATACTCGGTTATACACGGATTGACTGCTACGAGTATTTAGTTCCAACCGTGCCTGGGGATTAGTTGGCACGAGTAAGACTCGAATGTTATACGTGCATGTACGAATAAAGGACGGAACTACTTGGTCAAGCAAGGTTTGAACACGATTTGCATACGACTACATACGATTGTTGCACGGTTCTAAGTACGGTCTAGTACGGACTGGTACGATTAAACACGACTTTTACTCGATTTAATCGACTTTCACAGGGTTATATAGGATCCCGCCGACTTTTGTTCCAGTTATGCTCGAATTATCTCCTATTTGTGTTTGTTTTGATATAAATTGAACAATTCGGATGGCTTGGCTTATAAATAATCGAACTTTCAACGAAGAACACCTATGTATGTGAATTTTTGTGCCAGATGCAACAGATGACAGGATAAGGTAGTTAGAAATCATGATAAGCCTGACAGACATTGGTGGGCCCCCTGCTCACTAGGCTCGGCAGAGGCAGGAGGTTGGAGAGGTCAGCAGGCATGGGTGGCCCTTGTTGCAATCCTTCTGTGCATGGGAACCTTCTTCTTTGGATACATTCTGGTATGAGCAAGTACTCTGGGTAGATCTAGCAATTGAGGGTGGCAGTAGCTAGTTGTTGTTTTTGTTGTACAGTTTTGCTAATGTAGAGACCATGCATAACCGTATACGAGGCCGAGTGAGACCGTTTATACCCGTACTATACCGTGTTTGCCATGTATGATTCGTACTTAAACCGTATTGGTCGTATGGCGATTGTATGAAACCGTTTGTGCACTCGAGTCAACCGTACCGTGATCGTGTGACATTCGGATGTTAATCGGGTGTTGGATGTAGGACTTGGGGACGGTCTCGAACGATTCCATACGATTTATATATGATCTTGGCACGGTTGGGCCCTCTCGTGGAGTGGACTTCAAAAACGGTTGTATATACGGTCTCATACGGTCTCACACGGTCTCTTACGGTCTTGTACGGTCTTTTATACGACCATACACGGACATTTCATCCGTACAAGTTTTTTTTAAAGTTTTAAAAATCATATACGGCTTACACGGATATTCTCGAATGGCCCGAGTGTAATTCGGTTAAACTCACGGGTAGTTCGGTTGTATGTACGGTTTACACGGGTGGCCAACCGTATAAGCCGTGTGTTCTGTGTGAGATTGGCTTTAGTCACACATACTAGAATTTTATTTCTTGATAAGTGTTTACACTTTAAAGCAAAATAAATAATAAAAAATGGGGCCGGGTTGACCAGAACTAACATCAGTTTGGGGCCGGGTTGACCAATTTGGGGCCGGGCTGACTTGGGGCCGGGTTGCCTTGGGGCCGGGTTGACTTGTACCGGTACTCATGAGTTTCATATTTGCACTGTTGTATAATGGACTTCCTTTGGAGAAATATTTCAAATTCTGGTAAAGAACATTTCCAGAATGATCTAATGGTAAATATTTATGATAAAACTGGTGTTTGTAATCATCGTTTCCTTCATCATTATCTGGACTTAGATATTCACTCTGTCAAAAAGCGCCTCTTTTTTCAATTTCCATCATTTATTTATCTAATACTTATAAATCTAAATCTGTTACGTTTTCGTTAAACATTTTAATTTTTTATAAGCTTTCTGGTATGTTTGGACGAGAAACAAACCATTTGGATCCATTTTGTTTTTTGATGTGGTGAAATGTACTGTTAATAGAAATAGTAGAATAGGGATCTGTCAATAAGTCCTTCAACCATCTCGAGTCAGCATACTGGAACAAATCAGTTTTGTTGTATACACTTATAAGAAAACATGGTCGTGACCAAATCAGGGCTCGAACCAACGTTCCATGTATTGAAAGGCAGATTTATTTACTACCGCTCCCCTCTCTCTGTTGGTGAATATTTTGTTAATGATAATGATGATAATAATAAAATACATAATTATGTTATAATGATAATAATAAAATCTTTATTTATTGAAGGCAGCAAAGTTTACACAAAAAGCAAAACATGCATATATACTACAGTATAACCTTCTCATTGAACAATAATAAAAAGGATAACATTAGTTATAAAAGATAAAAAATACATGTATACAAAAATCTATTATCTTTTTTACGAACAAACAAAAATTCAAATATATAAATATAATAATCAATCAATTTTAATTTAAGGTAATTTGTGTATGAGATACAATTTTAAAAACAAATTTCTTCTGTCCAAATGAAAATTTTAAAAACAAATTCCTTATGTAAAAATGAGTAGAATTATGTTATTTATTGTTAGAGATGTATGTTATGTAATAGCTCGCTGTTGTTTAATATACAATTATTGACTAGTAAGCCATTGAATATGATGTGATATTCACCGGCAGATGACATATTGACCGAGGCGATATGTAATAGATATACCATTGCTGCGTTGACGATTTATGGGTTTGCGTAAATTATACCATAATCACGTGACCTTTCTTATGCCTTAACCTCACGAGACGAAGTCGAGTGAGGTTGCATAAGAAAGGTCACGTTATTATGGTATAATTTACGCAAACCCAGAAATCGTCAACGCACCAATGGTGTATCTGTTTTAACCTATAGCTTCGCCCAGAAACACTTACTCCTTCGATCTTCAAAACCGAAAATTATACCATAGTCTGGGTATGGTATAATTTACGGTTATTGGAAATTATACTTGGAAGAATTTTACATAAGAAGCGCTGAAGAGCTATAGGTTAACACATCATATTCAATGGCTCACTAGTCAATAATTGTTTTATTATATGAATAGGCTAAGAAATAAAAAAAATCACAAAAAGTACAACCTTATATATACATGTACAAATTTTGCCTCGTTGAAGCGCGGGAAAAAAGACGCACGTGTTAGGCGTGCAACGACTTCGCGAACGCTGCGCATACAAAAGTAATTCAAGTTTATACTCATCATTGCGCTGTAGCCTTTAAGTAAAATGGTAATGTATTGATATTTTAATCGAGAAATATGCCATAAAGAACAAAAAGCAACAATTATTTTTTAAGTAACACGCGTATTTAACAGTCATTGAATATAAGTCTCAATCTATTTTTAGACTGGGAAATCCAATTCAGCCAGTGAATATGATACTACACCCAGTAAATATTATTCTATAAAAAGTTCTGTTGACTACTGTTTGGACCAATGAGATTGCAGATATATTTAGATCATATAATAAACATTTATATACAAATTTGTTCCATTTATAATTATTAGATAATCGCCGTTAATTATGTTAAGAAATTATATTGTTAAAGCTATAGTGCGGTGGATGTTACATAACTCGATTTACAGGTCGAGCGATAATACCATAGCAATTATCTCCCGTGCACAATAAAAAAAATTGTAAAATAAATGCTTTAAATATAACTATTGTCAAAAATGGTGTATGCAATCTGTAAAAATGTATGTAAAATTCACACTTTCGTTGTCAACATGATTTAAATTCAAAAATCAATTGAGAAAGATTTTAATCCTTCACTAGTGATAGATTCAATCTAATATGTTTAAGTCAGTACAATTGGATTTTTGTTACACTTAATTATTCTTTTAAATCTTATGTTGCATATAGACTTTTGACACATACGACGAAATGTGAATTATTATAAACATGTACATCATGTAATAGGTAAATATATGTTTTCATTTCCTATGTTAAATGTGCTATTGTAATGCATTTATGAGATCATATCAACTGTAACGACCGCACCTCAATGTAAAACAAATATTTACATTACCCCACCCACTTTCTTTTCCTTAGAAATATTGAATTCTAAATTAACAATGTATAATATTGTAGATCTACTGTAATACTGTTCATTATTCCATGATATATATTTGTACAATTTATGTTGTTTTCAGGAAATAATTACTGTGCACTGTAACACCGCAAAACGTCCGTACCGCAAAACGTACGTAAATGGACGTTTTGCGGCGCATATCGTTCACATTTTCTGACGAACATTTTGCGGCAAAAAGGCATGGTCCTGCCGCATAACGTCCATATTTTAAACATTATATAATTTTCGTTAATTTTAGCTCACCTGAGTATTCGTCTGTCTGTCCGTCCGTCCAAATTTAGCTTGTTACCACTCTCCAGAGTTATCTGCCCTTGAATTACAATATAATATTTTATTATGTTATATTTCACATTGTTACCACTCCAACGCTTTCATTTCTTCTTCAATCTTGACAATTTTCAACAGAATATCTATGACCATAAAATTTCAACAAAGCTAGATTATAGGCTAAATCTTACACACACAAAAAAAACACAACAAAAACGCACTATATTTCACCTTGTTAGTGCTTTAGTTTCTTCTCCATTCTTAATTTTTTATACAGAAAATGTATAACAATAAGGTCTCGATCAAGTTCATTTATGAGCTAAAACGACTGAATATGTCAAGAGCTCTCTCTCAAATATGAGTTGGCGACTAAAGCCTATATACCCCGGGAAAAAAGCACCCTCATCCCCACCCCCCCCCCCCCCCCCCGCGACAAAAGCTCTCTTGCTCAATTATGACTAGGCGACTTAAAAGCCCCATTTCCATGACATTATAGCTCTATCGCTCAAATATGACTACGCTGTCAAAATCAAAAGCCCCAAACCATCCCTCGTAAAAATGAACGGTAGAACCAAACCTCCATAGTCAACAAGAACACAAAAATCATTCCCACTTCTTGATGCAATTATATGAAAATCTATTGTCAAAAGCAAAGCTTAATTGGAATTTTTTTTGTCATTCACTCAGTCCAATCCCCGGTTCGTCCGTCCGTATAGCCGTCCTTTTCTGTATGTCTATGAGATTAAATTTATTTCAATATCATCGTTTTTATATCTCTGCTGCTGCTGCTGCTGCTTGGTTCCATTCCATAAAAAATCTATTCGATAAACACCCTTGGCTTAAGCATATTATTTCTTTTAATAAAAAAAGTCAGAATTATATAGGATCACAAAAATATTGCACTGTTATGTTTATTTCGTCATATATATACCTGAAACAATATGAAAGTGACAGAGCCAATAAAAGTAACGTTTATAATGAATATATTTTAATACAGAAAATATGGACGATATGCGACATAAAGACACACTCTCGCCGCAAAACATACCAAGTTCGATATGCACCACAAATCGTCCACATGTGGACGATATGCGACGCAAAACGTCCATACGCGTACGTTTTGCGGTACGGACGACTGTTTCTTTTGTATAAACCAGTACTGGTATACAGCACGACAGGGCAGTCTACATAAAAAGCCAACTTTTGTTTGGAAAAAGCCACCTACACCAAAGATTCAATCTAATGTTTGGATCAATATTAAACTAAATTTTGAGTGTGTTCGTTGACATTTTCTTGACTGAATGTGTACGTTGACATTTCTGTAAGTTGAACATTTTTAGATCAATACGAAAAAACGACAGCAGGAAATCTATTCTTTTTACATTCAAACATTCTCTTATACATTTCAAAACACGAAAATTTACTAAGCACTGACATGCGTATCGTTTATAATGTTATTATCAACATTTTACACAAAAGTGTGTACGTTGTCATCGACAAATTTGTGAATAATGTTTGAATGTTCTCAGAAAATACAAAACGTTGTACACGACACCAAATGCATAATTAGAAAGCATCGGAAATGCCGCGGTCGGTAGGCTATGTATCATTTTTTAAAATGACTCGATAGAAAAATAATTACAAAAAAACTTACCTTAGCCGAGCTATTTTGGCCGTGTACGTTGACTTTTGCGTCACGTGACCAAAATTGCTTACCCACGGTGAAATCATTCAAAGTGTGTTTATAAGTTCAAAATCCAGAAAAGAATAGTGATTTTTGAGTTTCTTTCTGGTTTATGTCCGCCATTACATTTCCTACTACGCCATAGCTGATGACATCACATCTGACGAAATTTTCTACAGCGGCATTGTTATTTTTTTCGGCATAGCTTAAGGTCTTTGAACAGCGTACCCGTTTATATATATGACATGACGTGAACGCTGAAGATAACCCCGTAGGTAAAGTCCACCAATAATCGTGCCAGGGATCTGACACGCTCGTATTTATTTATCGAACAATCCACGAAGTAAAGTGAAGCATACCTTGATAAAACGATATATAATCTGTTGATAAGCCAAGGATGGACAAATAAAAATCTTATTAGGAACATAAACTACCTAATAGTTTCCGACGGGTAAAAATTTCGGCACTTGGCCGCCATCTTGCCAAAATGTTTGACCACGTGATTACGAGATTGACCTTTAGAAACCCATGGGCCTCCAAAATTTTTATAGATTACTTTTTTTTAAGATGTTGAAAAAGGTTATTTAATGACTGTTATATTCAATAAAATCATATTTAAATACTAAAAAAAATTATGAAAATAAATAAAAACATTATTTTGAATAAAAATATCGAAATCATGTCAACAAAATGTTCTAAATATAGTACACAACTCTATTCAAATCTGTTCCCGCGAATGACGTCATACGAGGTCTCGCGTGGCACTTGAATGTCATGGCCGATTGTAGTCGGTGAAAATTGATGTTTTACAGTTAAATAGGCAATTTTAATGACGGTATTAATATTTTATTATTTGAATTGGTATGGAACGATATTTAAATAATTGTTTTACCGTAAAATGCACAAGAATTGATCGGGTCAAGTGTATTTGCAAGTGAAAAACAAGAATAGATCAACTTATGTTATTCTGGTTAGGTTTCGTAACGGGTCTAATCCAAAACTTTAATGCCGCATCTGATGAAAAACAAAAATGTTAAAAAGCGGCTTATAAAGTTTTGGAAGCCAGAACTATTTTCGGCGTAGACATTTGACGAGGGTATTCCGTGTGTCACTCACCAACGAGAAAATAAATTCTATTGGTAAAATAACTATGGGCACAGAAGAGGTAAAGTTCCCTAAATCAACCAAATATAAAAAATTTGTGTTAATTTCTAAGTGTCCCCATCTTCAGTGTTTTAAAGTGTTTAAGTCTTGTGTTTACCAATATATCCATTCTTAGTGTAAAGTTCGTTAAATTTACCTTGTCAGATGGTGAAAAATATAAACCATTGAACCAACGTGTATTTTTCATAACTAATCTCTATCTTGCGTATATTTTAAGTGCTAATTTATTAATGTGTACAATTGGTCAAAGATGTTGATAAACTGTGACGAGCGGAGGATTGTCGAAGTCGCTGGTAAAATTCACCAATTGGTAAAAGCTACAAAATGGTAAATCTTACGGCGTAGTCTAACTAAAAGTGTTACTAGTTCCTTTGTGGTATGGAACCACTAAATTGGTGAATATAATATTTAAGTGTTTAAGTGTATTTTTGTTTCTCGGTGATAAACTATTAAAGTGCTCGTAAAGAATTCGTTCTATTTATTCAGATAAATTAAAAGAATTAGGGTGCACAATATTACTATTTGTCGTAAATACAAATAAACATTTTAATAACTATATGATGTAATATTATTAGCTGTTCGTTATAACTGTTTAATTCCTTTAATAAAGTTAATCGTTAAACTTTATATTGCCTCCGTTTTTCCTTGTCAGACAGGCAGTAAATATCAATTTACCAAAAAGCCGGGCCCAGGCGAACTCATGTAGTTTGCCCCCATGTGTTCTTTGTAACTCTTATAAATTATCGCTACCTAAACAGGGGGTAACGCTACACAACTTAGTATTGATGCACGTTTGCCATATTATATATTTTGCATATTGTACCACATGGGTCTATGACCTTCTGGGAAAAGAAAACTTGTTAAACTTGTTGTCACAATAAATTAATGGCGAACATTGACCCTGCTAGATATTTCATTTAATAGTTTAGAACAAGGTATTTGTATTTTTTCTCTTATTTAGTACATATATTCTTTTCTTTTTCATTGTGATTTTTTTTTGCATTTGCAATGTACTCTGTTAAAAAAATATTCTTTTTTTTACCGAAACAATACATTCCCTGTTATGTAATCATTTTATTATATTCCACGTATTGTATTGAAAAATGCCTTGGTTAAAATAAAAGATATTTTCTGTTCTCTTCTTTCCTGATCAAACAGGGCGAGGTAAAACTATTTTCGGCAAAATTTTCGCCTGGCTTCGAATTACGCAGTCGTTGCATACTCGGTGTCTTGCAAAATGAATTAAAGTATATCAAGATAACTTTGCACAGGAAATTATTTACAGATTTACAGTACGATTTTGACTTTATATAGATTCACTTTGCAAATATCAGAAAACACGACAGAGCTTGCAGTCCTTTGATTATGACATTGGCTTTATTACAATCTTGCACCGCGGTTTATGTGGTAAGTGAACATGGAATTTTATTTTATTAATTGAAAATGTACCGCATGAATTGACTCGGAGATATGAAATTAAAACTTATACATAAAACGAACATTTCTTTTTAATTTCTGCTGAATTGCGGCTTAAAATCTCATTTGCTCCGACATGCCATGAATATTAGAATTTAGTTCTCAGGTATTTTTTGTTACTTTTTATTCCGCTCGAAATTTAAAGAGGTTTGTACAAAGTACAAATATGAACTTGAAATGGAGATGTTATATTTGATAAGTGTAAACAAGTCACAAAATGACAAGACAATGCCATCATAAACGTTAAAGTTGTTACCCAAATAACAGATAGATAGATAGATTGACGAATTAGACGTGTTAATCCTACTTCAGAAATCTTGCAAAAATCATTTGGAAGTCACTCACTTGAAGGATGCTCCCTGATGCATCAGTGAAAAACTTGTCAAATGAATGATGCCACTTAAGATAAATATTCAACACACCGTCAGACATCATATCTGATTAAATTTGAACTGAAATAAATTGAAGCATTCGTTATTGCAATATTCATCACTTAATTTATCGCTTCAATAAACCATTTAAACATCGGTTATTAAGTATTCATTTCATAAAAAAGTCCATAACTTATACGTTTCATAAAGATGTCATAAATTTCAAATGATCTGTATCTGCATTTTGATGAGAAAATATTTAATAAATTTTGAAATTTAAAGCAATTACTTGTTTATGGCATATCTTGTAAGCATTGTGTTTTGTAAACGGCATAAATGGAAAACAACGTAAGCCAGATATCTTAATTATGACGCATTATGTAAACGGCATAAACTGAAAACGACGCAAGCTTACTGACAAACTAAAGTGATGGTGTTTCGACGGAGAGGGGACTGAAACATAGCGAACAATGGACTTATGATGGAAAACGTCTGGAGATAGTGAATAACTTTAATTACTTAGGCACGGTCAGTGGATAACTTTAATTACTTAGGCACGGTCTTTAATTCTAACGGTCGTTTTGATTCGAATGTACAAATGTTAGTTGGAAAATCGCTTAAAGCAATGAATACCTTAATATCAAATACTAAAGACTTTGATTTTACACCAAAAACTATGTGCAGCCTGTTTGACGCTTTTAGTGTTTCTATTTTAAATTACTCTGCCGAAGTATGGGGTTATACAAAATGTCAAGAAATTGAGAGAATACATCTTAAATTTTGCAAACATATTCTAAATGTTAAATTGTCCACTAGTAATGTAGGTATATATGGTGAACTTGCACGTTTTCCTTTATATATTAATCGCTATATCAGAATAATTAAAATCTGGCTAAAAATTTTGAATACGGAAAATTGCGTAATTAATAAAATTTATGATTTGATGCTGGAAGATGAAAAGGTAAACTGGGCTCATAACGTAACGAAATTATTATATAGCTATGGATTCGGCTATATTTGGGAATCACCACAAAATGTTGATATTAACTGTTTCATTACATGTTTTAAGCAGCGGTTAAGAGATACTTTTGTGCAAGATTGGAAGAGTAGTTTGACTAACAATAGTGTTTTATTTGTGTATAAGAATGTTAAACAAGACTTTGTGTATGAGGATTACCTGAGTATTGTTAGAGACAAGTTTTAACAAAGTTTAGACTCTCTTCACATAAACTACGTATTGAGTCCGGTAGATACGGACAGAATAGGATAGAAAGGAGCGAGAGAGTTTGCGAAGTATGTGGATCAAATGACATTGAAGATGAATATCATTTTATTTTAACATGTGCAAAGTAAAAAAGTGTATGAAAACGATATATAGACAATTATTATTACGAACGTCCTAGTGTGTTTAAACTCATTCAGTTGTTTAAATCAAAGAATGTACACACTTTGAACAATCTAGCTTGCTATCTGAATTGTGCATTGAAAATAAGGAGTAATTTGTTAGCATAGTCTCATTGTATAAATTATTTGAGTCTGTAATAGTATTATATTCCAAAGAAGTACTATAGTTTATTGCTTTTGTTTCAATATTATATTGCTGTAGAAATACTTAGTAGCCTTAAAAGTATAACAAGTGCATTTCTCTTGCCGGGATAACAATTGTTCGATATTTTAAGAAATAGCATAATTGTATTCCGACTTTGTATAAATAACCATTATATTATATCACTCTCATGATAAATGATTATATACTGATGTGTATATATATTTGTATAAGAATATTCATACTTTTGTAATGTTTATGTGATACCTTGATATATACTGTATTTCTGTTAAGATGAAGAGCATATGCTCAAGTCTGAAAATAATAAAATATTTGTTCTGTTCTGTTCTTATTGTGTCATTAGCGGGAAAAATTAGACATAACTTAAGGTATTGTGTCGTCAATTAAATTGTTTATAAACGATTTTTTCCGGTAAAAGTTTTATTATATGAACGAACATACAGGTTACCTTTTTCAGCATATGATTCGCACAAAAGCGCAACAAAACAACTTTGTCAGGTCAAAGGAAATGTATCCAGAATGGCTTCAATACTTTAGAAATTTTTCACAATATATTTGATCAGTTTTCCTTGACGAAACTTTCTCTCTTTTATGTACATGACTGTACACTTTTATAACCAATCTATAACATTTCATAAAATGTACTTACGTTTTGTATCAATAAATTTTAGAGCAATTTCATTCAAATTAAGTATTTAAATTTGATCAGGCACGCAGTTGCGACATAACCTTACTTTAAGCCAACCCGAATTTCTGTTAAACAGTTGTTGAGGTTCGCAAAAATTAAGCAAATATGTTGAAATTGCCGGCAGTTTGTTTATTTGCCTTTGTGATCGCTGACTGGAAGTAATCATGATTTTATTATTTTTACATGAAGCAGCGCCACCACAGCTCTTATTATTAAACATGTAGTTGTATTGAAGGGCAATGCCACTACGTTTTTTTTAAACATTTATCTTTAGTTTATAGACTAAAAAACACAGTTTATGATAAAATCGAAGGTTTTGCTTGTACATTTGATGTAGTTGGAACTTGTTTAAATATTTGTAAATGTTTCAGTTTCCTGATATTTATTTATAACACTTACCGCTCATTTTATTCCTCATCCAATATTTCAAGAGGTTTCATTAGGGATATTTACGAGTGAATTTTCGTTACCTTGCGACGGACTACTTTAAATTTTATTTTTTTACTGCTGGATAAATGACATGTTATTTGATTTTAAAATGGTAATGTAATTACATGAGATATAATTTTCAAACTATCCAATGAGTAATGCATTCCCTCTAACGATATGCGCCTCGCAAAGCTCAATATTTTACATGCTGTATATATAAATATATTTGCTTTTATCAACTAAACCTTTAATATCCAGATGATCAATAAATCATACAGATCATGGTGATTTCATTATATATCCTGATGTTGGGTAACATTTGGAGATTTATTAGTACAAACTCTATATAACTTTTATTGCTTATTTCTCATCTCCTTTTAGCATTTGACATTGGTTTAATACGTTATATGTTTCATTTTTTACTTAACGTCTTGTAAATCACCGCCAGTATTTTCTTTACAAATGACCTAAAATAAGAGCATAATTGTATCTAATTATCCCAAAACCGTTAATAAAACGCGGATTATACAAAATCAAATTCGATAGACTGAAATAATTTCCACCTAGCTATTGTTAATGTTACTAGTACAATAGTCGAGCACACTACACTTTTTTAAATGAAATGTCATTCACTTCTTTGAATTTTATCAGTACAGGCAAAAGAAGAAGTGTCTGCCAAAGAAAGTCGCTTACTGAAGTTGTTAAAGGATGAGTTAGAACAGGTACATTGTGCTTATTTGAAGTAAATGGTAACTATGTTTTACCCTGTGAATAGTGCATTGCAATTGGCCTGCCTTATTCTTATATTAATTTTTATATAATATTTCACTCATTAACCTGTAAATGTTCTCCAAATATATACTCTAGGCATTCAAAGGAACAAAATTTTTCTCCTTATAAAGAAAAATGATGGTTTCCTAACCTGACCCACGTTGGTCATGTTAGATCGTTAAGATTTCACAATAGTTGTCACAGTGAACTCTAGAAACGTTAAAGAACATGTCAAATGAATGATTTAGGTTGGTTTCAATCAGTCTATATCCACAATATCTATTATAATTGTATTTTCCAGGGTTTGTTCAGGTCACATGACTAGTTTTAAAACTACTCGTTGATTCTGTCGGTGTTTAAATTTCGTTCAACATATATAGATATATTTACGCTTCAAACCCAAAATATATAGAATTTATACAGAAATTTATGCTGGGGCTTTAACAAATGCCACTTTAGCGTGATTCGAGTACATAAGTTAATATTGATATTTTTGTCATTAATTTGCCGGAGTATCTACAATTAATTGCAATTGATGTACATAGTTTTATAAATAGAACGTGGTTTGATTCTAATTAGGTGTTAATGATAAATGACCAAGAACATGGAGAGAGATTTTAAAAGGTTCTAAAAGGAATTGGTACGTTACTCAGCATTTCATTATTTAAAAAGATCTTGTTTTAAATTAAGTTTGAATCTGTATATATTTTTAAATTCAGATCAAGAGGGATTCTGACCCATGTGAATCGGATACGTGTGATGATGATTGTAGGTTTGACTGCTGTTTGGATTATTGCAATGATATGGACTGTTTTTATGCATGCCACAGTAATGGAGATGAGGTATATTAACAATTTAAGATTTAACAATAGTGTGTAAAAAGCTGTTCACAATGACATTTTCTGATATATATTTGCATATGTATGGTTTCAAACAAGCATGAGATAATGAGTTGTGCTAGAAGATCTGACTCTAAAAACGCCATTGTCATTTCATGTTTGGAACAGTTCAAATTTTTTTGACGAGGCGTGTCCCAAAATAAGTGACACCAATGATTGCTTACTTTGTATATGATATTTGCTATCATATGTCTTTCTTTCGAGACAAATTATTAGTTCTCTGCATATAGGCATGACTAAAATGCTCGTTGTTTCGATAAAGGTACGGCCAGTGCTAACACATTTCGTATTCTCTAACTCAATGACACAACATTATTCAAGCTTTACCTTACTTAGTGTAATCCTGCTAGAACATCGGAGAAACTTTATCTTGTGCAACTGCTGCGTGTATTTTCTGTATACAAAAATTATAGATCTAATCTGAATGAATATTTTTTTCTTTCTTTCAGAGGTCAGGTGTATTAAAGTAAATTTGCTTATTTACTTATGTTATTAAACAGTAATTGGACATAACAATTACATTGTTGAATAAGCAAATACCTAATAATAACAAATGACCAATGTATGTTGAAAACCAATGTTATTGCACGAACCAACTGTAACATCTTTTAGTTTCGCCAAAAAGCACATCGAGATTTTAGCTTTTATCAATCAGTTTTATAAATATTTGGAGATTTTCGAAACTTACCTGACACTGCAATTTATATAAGTGATCTAGCTGTTGAAATTTGTAATACGTACCAAATAAGATGACAATTAATGTAAGCTATACGCCTTGTTTATATCTTACGAATGATAATTTTGTAACGTGTACAAAATTATTGCCGTAAAATCTGATTTATTTATAAGTTAACCACTTTATCTACTTGTAAAACAGGACGGTTAAATATTAGGTAATAGTTTCTGAACAGCAAAGTCTTCTTTTTAACATTAATCATTATTGATTTTTATCACATGTACCAGTAACCATGCTGTCAGAAGGAAATGATTTTCAGAAACGAGACCAAATACCGGTGGTGGATAATGTGCAGAGCTTGAGAAGGGGATTGAAAACATTTGCCTGATTGTTTGTAAACCATATTGTTTTCCTTGTTAAAACACTCATACGACACTTAACACTGCGTCTATCTATCCTGACTAAAGTTCAGATCTACTTATTTCGTTTATGTAGATCTGATAACGACCGTATATGTTTCGCCTTCTTTATAATTCTGATTTCACTAGAATGCTTTATTTTGCTATGCAATCAAACCGGTTTTTACTTACATAGGCATTAGAAGTATCAAAATACCGTTATCTGTGGAAGTTAAACAAATGAAAAGTAAAAATTACCCACTCAGTATTGGTTTTCCTAGGGTTAAAATAAGAAACCACATCGCTTTCAAAATTATGAAAGCTCGCGTGAAAGGCCATCAGAAATGATTTCGTATTTGGTCACGGTTAGATCTAAATGCGGGGCATTATTTAGATCTGATTTTAACTAGATTGTAAAACAAAGTATTGTTCAGTTACTCTATTTGTACCATTTCTACTAGCAGTTGTACCTTAGTTGTAGGCCCATTACTAATTTAATGCCAGTTTGTAGACATACATGTATATCATTTTGTTCAGATTTGTTATATATATTATTATCAATTTATTTTGCAATATTTAATTTAGTTATTTAGAATTTCCTTACGTGTTTTTTACATATTAGATAAACTAATTATTTATGGAATATTATTATTACTATTATGGTAAAATATTTCGATAAAAATTTATTTCGTAAAATTGTATTTGTAATTTTAAGCTTAAGAATATAAGTTTTGGAAAAAAAAATCTTCTTCATTAAATAACCTTTGAAGCAGTATCTATTATATGATAAAAAAATCGATACAGTATATTTGTCTGACTATCTACTTTAGTTCTTCTGCTCTTGTGACATTTTTATTTTTATGATTATTTAGATAAACTAAAATATAATAAATGTTTTTTAAAACTGTCTTGCAATTGTTTTTTTTTTAATTTTCTTTTGAAATCACGGTGTCAAAGCATACACCGGAAGTTGGCAATTCTTCAGTTGTATAATGTACGTTTGTCGTTTGTCCACTTGGCCTTTCTTTTTCCTGATGTATCAAACGATTTTTACGTCATTGAAAATGTAATCTTGCCTTATTTTTTTATCTCATTTGTTGTATATGGCAGTAAATGTAAAAGAACAGTTTGCAAATAATGCACAGTTTAAACGCTAAAAGTTTAAACGATTTATTCTATCCAAAAACGACGGTACTATATCTGCATCAATTAGTTAACCCCTCTGCGAGCTATATTTAGCCGCATATATAAGAAGCTGCAGACCACGCTCCCGGTCTTTTCAACTTCGCCAGCGTTAAAGAAGGTACGGGACATTATTAAACTTTATGTAGAACACAATATTTCAAAACACTGAATATTAAACTGGAAAGATAATGACCTGTCGTCATTTTCAAATTAATTAAGTTTCTTTGTAGTTGTTTTTGCACAAGCAATTTACAAATTTCATTGTTGGAAATTAAAGGTTTATTTTAAAGATTTAAGTCGGTCCTCGTTGGCAAGTTGTTTTGAATATGGTCGTGGTCTATTTATATTTAGTCGCTGCTTTATACATTTGATCAATTAAATGAATTTCAATATTTAATAGATGTGTAATGCAACAGATGGATCTATAGAGTTCGTTAGTTTGGGACGATAATATTTTAGAGAATATTTAACTTTACTGTATGTAGTAGGGTAGCGTAAAATAAATTTACGTCACAAATTACGTCATACCCACTGAGTGTACGAATATTGCCACTGGTAAACATATTTAACTGACAGGGCATCAGTGGTATGTTTGCTAGATCTATTTTATGTATTTTATATATGCATATGATATCATTTCTTAGTTGATCTTAAAGCTGCACGCCTCCAAGATGAGCCAAAATATTCAATGTTATGAAAATGTATTAAGATCTTAAGAGAAGTAAAAAGATTCAATATTTAATTAATCATTTACATGTTATGTGCGATTTATGACTAATTCAGTGTCTGGTGCGGGGACTCACCCCTGTTTTTTAGAATTCACCCGTAATTTTTGAGAGGAAGGGGGACAATTTTACATAGACAAAGAAGGAAAAAGATAAACAAACCTTTCGATACCCCCCCCCCCATCCCCCTCCTGTTTTTCAAATCCTAGTATAGACACTGCTTAATTTGCAGTATTGATGACTATAGTTCTACTGCGTTACTAACGCAGTAAGAGGTATATATGTATATTTTGACCTCTTTTTGGTATTTTACGTGGATTGTTAATGCTGTTTACAATGAGTAAATTACTTTCTTTGTTTGCTTCACATTATATTACTTTTTAATACAATTTCAAACTTTTCATGAACATTAGCTTGAATCTGGAGGAATGCTGCTTTAAATCTACTAGTCTTATACTAATTTACCTAAATTCTATTGATTTCTATTTGCATTTATAACGAGCGATATGCCAAAATCAAAGAGAAGTCATCGAGGACAAACAATATGCAGCAGGAAGTGGAAGCAAAAAGGACTGGAGCAAAGAGTAACGAAATGGAACAATTTCCTGTTAGTTTGGAATTTGGCTCTAGTACATGTGGTAACAATTCAGATTCAGGTGACACTTCTTTTATCTACAAGCTGTAGTAAAAGATAAAGTTGAAACGTGTGCTGGGACTATGGTAACGGCACATGTTTCTGCTTCTGTGAAAGATAAAATCTGGGACTAATTAATTTATTGTTTAAATTCCTTATTAATAAAATACCCGGGTGAAATTCAAAAACAAAACATTCATTTCATTAAGGGCGAAGTCATTGTATCGTCCAGTAATGAGTTCCCAGCTTTAGTAGAAGGGATCGAACCTTGGTCTGAGGCTTCATCACATCCATGTCAATCAATGTCAATATGTATTGAAAAACGCCCAGAAGTAACACAAACTCTTTTACAGTTAATTTTGCATCAACTTAATTTCAGGATGGTCCAACTATGATAGACAATTTAAGTCTATTCAATGACTGTCTTGGCAGACGGTAGATCCGGTATTATAAATGATTGTCATGCAACCCTTGCACAATTCGAACCTTGTTTTCCTGTTTGCATGCAAACCTTGTTTGTCCTTAACCAGTAAGGCTATTGGTTAGATAAATCCTGTAAATATACCCATTTCTGCCTAAAATGTCAAGGGCATCATTTTGTATTTATCTGCAATATTATTGGTGAGACTTGTCCTCGTTTTTGTCAGGCTCCTCACAGCGGTTACGTCACGCTTTGCTACTTTTAACCACTGCCACCACTGAAATCATGGCGGCCAGTTTCAGAACGCCAAGGAATCAAACTGGCAGATTTATAATTACATCCTTACCAGACAAAGTATGTTCAAAACACACAATTTGTTTACACTTTAAAACAAGTGCCGGATCAAATCTTTGCGCAATCGTTCAATTACTGTCTACCTTCTGCCATTGTTAACTATACATAGGCCTACGATGTCACAGTGAAAATATCTTTCGTTATGTTTACAAATAATTTTATACGTATATTTTTTTTTTAACATTCTTGTACATTAAGCATAACTAATTATTGAAAGAAAATTAAAATGTTATAAAATATCATATTTTAAAATTAATATATATATATATCCGGCTATATTCGACCGAATTTACTTGTGGTGGCAGTGGTTACTGTACTGATCGGGGGGAGTGGCCGCTGCGAGGAGTTTGCGTTTTCGTTTGAAGACCAAGTCAGCTGCAGATAAGACCGGGTACTTACAGTCATAATATCCGTTTCAGGTCGCAATTCAACGCTACGCGGCCGCCACAAACAGTTTATAACTAAACAGACGTATGGGTCTTGGGAAATTCGCTTATTAATATATGCAAGCTTGTGGCCAATTTCTAGAAATAAATAAACTTGAATAAAGTTAGAATTAAGGACCCATTCCTTTATCCACACATATCAAACTTTTGTAAAAATCCGGTTGGTCCTATTCTTTATCCACCAATATCAAACTTTTGTAAAAATCCGGTTGGAAAAAAAAAAAAAAAAAAAAAAAAAAAAAAAAAATGCGTTTAATTACAAAGTCTTTCCCACACGGGTCAGGCGTAAATGATTTTATTGAACCGTCTGTTGGTCACGTACAGTACTCATAATTTGACAATGCTGTTGACATCGTAATACATGGGTAAAACCGGATATAAAATCGGGTTTCAATCTGTGTCTTCTCTGGCTGGGTTGTTTTGGTTTGTTAGATACATGTATATAATGTATATATTTAAATAATGCTGGTTATGGGGTTTTAGAAGATGGGTGGCTCATGTTCATGCTATATTTAAAAAATTTGCAACATTTAGTCAGTGATAAGTCTCAAAAACAGATAATAGACAAAATATAGACCATTTATTAGATGATTTCGTCATGGCTGGCGTTTCATATTTATAATGTTAATTATGCCGAGTTAGGTGTTCCACTTAGTGATAACTAACCAATCTGTCTTAAAGATACGACAATTTATATTAAGGCGAAAGGTTTATCCGTCTGTATTATTTGACGGTCAAAATACGGGTACCCAGGTCGATATCACGTTTGATGATAGTAACAGATTCTGCTATCATCATGTACGGACTTAAATACAGGCCAAAGTGGACTGATCATTATTTGCCATTCTGACGGTAGTCCTTTTAACCACTTATCAATTTAATGCTGTACTGAAAAAGGCTTTGTTTTTCGCTGGCCTAAAGGATGGCTACTTTAAATCATATTCTTTTCGAATTGGTGGTGCTACTTGCATGTCAAATAAAGGCATCAAAGTCGTGATATAAAAAGCAGGGGTCGCTGGCTTTCAAGCGCGTATAGGTCGTATATTAGATTAATATATGCTAACGAATAGGCTGGAAAACGATGCACTTATTCGGAGTGTATTACATGCAGAATGTAAATAAGTAAATGGGAAAGGTCATTGTCGTATCTTTATATTTTAAACTTTTCAACAAACTGTTTATTCAGTAAAGTTATATATTCGGCAAATGGTATTATGCAATGCACAAATGAATAGCATATGTTATTACGCATCGAATAGCATATGGTATTATGCAATGCACTAATGAATAGCATATGGTATTATGCAGTATTATTAAATATTGAGATACCATATGGTATTAAAAAAAAAAAAAAAAAAAAAGAAAAAATAATGAATAGCATATGGTATTATGCAATGCACAAATGAATAGCATATGGTATTATGCAGTATTATTAGATATTGAGATAGCATATGGTATTATACAAAAAATAAATAAATGAATAAATCAATAGCATATGGTATTATGCAATGCACAAAAGAATAGCATATGGTATTATGCATTAAATATTGAGATAGTGTATGGTATTATAAAAAAAAGATATATAAATGAATAGCATATGGTATTATGCAATGAACAAATGAATAGCATATGGTATTATGCAGTATTATTAAATATAAAGATTGCATATGGTATTATGCATTATATTAAATATTTAGAAGCATATGTATTACACAAAAAAATAAAAGAAATAAATGAATAGCATATGGTATTATGCAATAAATAAATGAATAAAAATGAATAGCATACGGTATTATGCAAAGCATATGGTATTATGCAGTATATCAAATATTGAGAAAGCATATGGTATTGTGCTGTAATTCAAATGTTTAAGATGCATATGGTATTATCTTGTTTATCAAATATTGATAGCATATGGTATTATGCAATTGAGAATTTTATATAAAAAAAAAAAACAAAAAAAACAAAAACAAAAAAAAAAACCAAAGGATCTGCCATTGCCCGTTTTAGGCCCGGCGATCCGCTTTTGGCTTTAGAATTTAATTCCACTAAGAGTCCGTCAACGGGTCTTTGTGATGAAATGAGGGGAAAAAAAAAAATTAAGGATCTGCCATTGCCCGTTTTAGGCCCGGCGATCCGCTTTTGGCTTTAGAATTTAATTCCACTAAGAGTCCGTCAACGGGTCTTTGTGATGAAATGAGAGAAGAGAAAAAAAAAAGGATCTGCCATTGCCCGTTTTAGGCCCGGCGATCCGCTTTTGGCTCTAGAATTTAATTCCACTTAGAGTCCGTCAACGGGTCTTTGTGATGAATTGTCATAATAAGTTCCATCCTTATTTGTATAAGAGTTATGCACATAAGGATG